TAATTCTCTTTCTTTTTTTTTTCTGGCTAGCAGAATAACTTTTTCTTTATTCATTTATTCACATGCGCATACATTGTGTGGGTCATTTCCCCTCTCTGCCCCCTTTCCCCACCCTTTCCCCCCTCCCCCGCTCAGTTCCAGGCAGATCCTGTTCTGCCCTTATCTCTAATTTTGTTGAAGAAAAGACAAAAGCATAATAAGGAAGACAAAGTGTTTTTGGTAGTTGAGTTAAGGATAGCTATACAGAGAGATTCCTAACATTGCTTTCATGTACCCATGTATTAATGTTGCCTTTTCAATGAAATATAAAAATGTCAACACTAAATAATTTACAAACAAGTACCCCCTTCACAAAGCAATGTTGACCTGGTTATACTACACTTACTAAAACACCATTTCAAACAGATCCTCAACCCAATTATTCAAAGAAAGCAATTTTTTCCTAAAATCAGAATTTCTACATTGTTGACACTATGCTATATACTGCATTAATAATATGATCATATCTTTCTGCAAGTTATTTATGACAGAGTACACTAAAAATTGTAAAAAAAATCCTTCACTGTCAATGCTATCATCATTACTCTCTGGTAACTGTCCTCCATTTCTTTACCTAACTACCAAAGCTAGTATATAAGCCTCGTAGAGGTGCTCCAATGGAGAGAAACCCAATTAAATGTCTTCAGTTAAAGTCTTCTTCCTAAGCAATACTCAAATGATTTTTGGTGGCACAGGACATGGGGAGTGGGCAGAGACAGGGCTCTATCCTTATTAGGTACCTTCAAAGTTGAATTCTAGTCCAACAGTCTGCAGTTGCAGACAGTTCAAAAGCCTTGCCTATAACTTCCTCCTTTCTGCCCAATTTTTCCTTTTATTTCATTTTCCAGTGACCAAATTTGAGTGTTTCTCTATTGTCCTCATGTCACTTATCCTCGTCTCCACAATCCAAAGTGTGACATGGCCTTGACTCTATCATTAGAAGAATCAGTGAGAGTGGTACAGTCCCCATTTTATCACTACCATATCCTCAGACTCAATCATCACTGTGAATAGAGGGAATAGAAGAGAAAACAATTAGAGTTGAAAGAAAAATCTGGAAAATATTTGAGACTCCATTGAGAAAAGCAATTCAGAAAGGAGCAATATAAAAATGAACATCAAAGGACTGGAGATGTAGCTAAGTGACAGAGTGCTAGCCCAGCATGTGTAAGGCCCTGGGTTTGATCCCCAGCACCACAAAAACAAAACCAAATTTAATAAATAATAATAATAATATAATAATCTTTGATTCGAGTTTTGTAATATCTATAACATTATTTATTACAAACCACAGGCCAATAGTTTCATTAAAATCTTATAACAAGGTACATTTTCCAGTTAGCCAACCAACATTAAATATTATGATACAGCTTTCTTTCCTTTTCTTCATTCAATATGCATTTGTGGAGCACTTGCCACGTACCTGGTGCTGTGATAAGTAATCTCCGCTCTCTTTTACAAAGAAACTCATACAACTCTCCTTGAAGACAGTCTTGCTGTCCACACAATCACCAGCAAATGACTAAGTACTAAGGCTGTACAACATTTTCCTCAGCTCTTGAACTTAGGTGAAATACATGAGGATGATACCAACTGGCAATCCAGCCTGGGTTCAGTTACAAATAGAACAAATGGTTTTCTCTACACAAAATTGCTCCTTGAGAAATAATAGCAACAACAATTAAAAAAAAAAATCCCCAAACAAAACAGGTGCAGATACAACCTATTATTTAAGAAGAAAAATAAAAAGTAAAAAGCATCACATTGAAAACAGAGATATTCTAATTTCTGCAAATTTTAAGCCACTTTTCTAAAGCACATGTTTGAGGCTGATAGGGAATCCTTGCATTTGTCTTTGAAAGCCTTTCGTATGTGCCACCTGGCAAAGAACCACACAGCCAGCCACATTTGCACTCTGCTTCCTGCAGTCTCCATCGACATCCTCATGTGTACACCCAGCTCAACACCATCCCTCTATGAAACATTTCCAGATTCTTCCTCTTGGAACCGTCTGTCTGATTATTCCTCCCAAAACTTCTGTTGCAAGTTATTTGTGCTTCTCATGCACCACTATCTGATTTTATTTCTTGGTGCATGTTCATTTCTACCCCCCCACACACACCCCTCAGTTGTTATGGCAACAAAGACATTACTCATGATGCCTCCATCTTGGATAAGTGTTCATTGATGTGTATTAAGTCTACATTATTTCCTCTTAGCATTTATTTTATGAAACTGTCAATATTTTATAGCTGTCATATAACCACAATTTAGTTTTTAAAAAGTCAAGCATGAAGGTACATGCCTGTAATTTCAGCAATCAAGAGGCTAAGGCAGCCCAGGCTATGAAGAGAATTCCAGGCTGACCTAAGCTACCTAGTGTGACAAGAAGATTCTTTTCATGGCATTTACATTTGCAATGTCACCTAAATAACAAAAACTTCAAGGTGCCAGGAATTATGGCTAACATCACTATTTTAGTGTTTGTTTTTTAACAAAAACATTGTCCAAGTTTTTCTTTGTCCCTATCACTATGACAACAAAATTTATACCTCCTTTCTGCATATTAGTTGCTCTAGAAATCCCAGAATGAGAAGAATGCTGGTTGGCTTTCCAAATATAGCTCTAAAAAGATCTCCATTTTCCTTGTACTCCTAAATTCTTTAGTGACAATAAAAAGCAGGAAGATTTCTGTTTTCCATACTGCCTTATCCATTAGCACTCATTTTTAGAGTAGAAATAGCAATATGGCCTATAAAAGTCATCACATTTGGCTAAAGTAGTGAAATAACCCAGGTCTCCCCGGCACAGTTCACAACAAAGACTATTAATATGATCCTACTGAATAATGTAACTGTTAGCCGCCTATACTCTTGGGATGCTTTCAGGATTTAAACAGCTAAGAACAAGGATCACAAACTAAATTTAAAACACCCCACCGAAAATTGTATTAAACTGAAAACTATAAATTAAACTTGTTTCTAAGCAACAATGTAAATAAGTCAAAACTTAGTGAAAACACTCACTTTCAAAAATAGCCCACTGCTTTGGAGGCCCATTGGCTCAATACTGCCAAATGTATATATAAAAATGTACAACATGTAAACCAACTTGAAATGGAATAAATCTCTATAATGCATAAAAGAACTGCTCACTACAATAAAAAAGTGTAAGTCCTTCGTTGACAAGAACTAAGTACTTATGTACAACTTCATTTTTAATCAATAGATAAGCAATTTAAACAAATATTCCTGCATGTAGCCTTTCTTTAATTTAAAAGTCATTCTGTGGGTCAAGGGGCTGATATAAGAGCCCCTTTTCAAGTCAAAACTATTTGGAAAAAATAAAATGTCTGGTTTTACTGAATAAACAGTAATCATCAAAACTTATGAAATTTTTCAAATTAAAAAAAAAAACTATTAAGTCCTTTATTGCATCTCAGAACCTTACAGTATTCTACACACATACCAAAGAAGATCATGTTCACAGATTTTGTCCAAGGCTATTCCTGCCGACAAGGATAAAATGATCAAATCCCCAACTATTAGCAGTGAAAACCAGACTCCTGAAATTTTTAAACAGCTGAGAAGGAACACTGACCTTTTGGCAACAAGATTTTGTTTACAATCTAACTAAATAAAACCATGAATCATCTACACGTCATAAATCAGATGTTTGTGTTTGGTTTAATTGCCAGGTGAATAAAATACTAAGAGTAACACAAAGAAGCTCGTTCTAAGCAGATTAAACAAACAAATTCCACCTTACTGGGGAACTAGAAACACACACTTCTTTTTCGTCCTTGCCCCCAGCCATTTCTTCCAGAAGGCGATACCCAATCATTTCAACTTCCCAGAGAGCCTGGTTTTAATAGCTGCCTTCGTCCGTGCCTCAGAAGAGAAACTTACTCACAAGCAGAAAGGTTTCACTTGAAATCTTTCAAAAGTTCTTATTTTCCAGGCAAAGAGTGGACATTCAATTTTCCCAAAAGTTTTAAGCCAAAATTTGCTACTTTCACAAGTGAGACTCAGCAGCCCTCCTCCCACTCAGCTTGTCCTTTCCTGTTCAGGCTTAGCTCCTCTCCCTCCCGCCAGTGCCTCCCTCCACACCACTCCTTTGCCTCTCCAGCAAGCTCTACCTCCAGAGGTGGGAGGAAAGCGAGAGCAGCCCTGGCTATTCACGCCTGGCCCTGCCCTCTGCTGCTGTCGCATTCAACCCTCCGCACCCCGGGGTGGGAGAACCCTCCGCACCCCGGGGTGGGACTGGAAACCACTGGCGAATATCTGTGCACGGGGATAGTCCAGGTGTGGAAGAGAGGCCCAGCTGCGGAGCAGCATTCGGCTTCCAGACCCCCGCGAAGGGGAACAATGTCTCAAACCAGGGGCAGTGCCCCCACCTGGGGCGGACATCGCCTGGGGAAAACGACCACCCCCAAAAACCAAGTGATGGAGCAGAAGGCTACGAGGAGCCCAAGTGCTGTCGCGGGGGCCTCTCCCAACGGGCCTCCCCAGGGCGCACGAACCCGCACACAATGGGCATCCCCACACCTGCTTGGCGGTGGCCTGCCTCCCCCTCGCTGCGTGTGCTGGTCCGCTGAGAGGTGCCGGGCACCCCCAGGACGCGCTCACAGCCACGCGCGCCGAGGGGTGAACAATGGGGGGTCAGATTGGTCAAGAACACTGAGCCCTCGCCCCTGGTCCAAATCCCCCGCAGCACAGGGAGTGGGCGTGGGGGTCGCAGAGGACGCACGTGAGGAGCTTCGAAAAGACAAGAGGGGCTCTCCACACCGGGTGGCCCTCCACACCGGGTGGCCGCCTCGCCCCGCTCTGCGGGGGGGCGGGAAGGGGCGCCCCGAGAGGCCCGGGTTTACCAGCGTCCGGGAGGCATCCAGCGGAGACCCCAGCGCCGCCCCCTGGCCCGCGTCTACACTGCTCCCGCGCCCGCCCCGGGGGCTCGGTTACCGCCGCCTCCGCCGTGGCCCCCGCCGCGTCCTCCGGGGCGCGGGACAAGTCGGGCTCGCAGCTCGCGCCGTCCGTCGCCATCTTCCTGCTGTAGCGGATCCGAATGCGAGCTCGGAGCGGCGGCGGCTCGGGCTCAGCCCTCTCCCCGCGCGGGCGGCGTTAACCCGCTGCTAGCCGGGCCGCGGCGCTCGCTCCGAGCCGACGAACCTCGGAGCCGCCGAGCCCGCGGACGCCGCGCTCCCTCCGCCCCTCGCCGCCGCCGCCCCCGCCGCTTAACCCGCGGCGCGCCGGAGCCGCGCAGCCCCGCCCCGCCCCCGCCGCCCCCACTGGTCCAGGGACGAGAAATGGGCGCACGACCGGTGGCCCCGCTGGAGGACGCGAGAGACCAGACACTCGGGAAGGTAGAGGAAAGAAAGCGCCTACGAGGAGGCGAAGCCGCCACCAAGCGAGCACTGCACAGACGAGATTCGATGTTAGGCTTCTGAATGTGAATTCTTTGTAAGATCCAGGAAAATCCTTCACTTTGGTTCCCTCTACCTCCACACCGTCCCCCGCGCCCCCGTTAGGAATCACAATGGCACCCTTCTTCAGTGTTTCTTAAATGTCCTTGTCGCGGGGCGCTGTTACCCTCTTGATATATATACACCTGGCTTTGTTTCATCCATTGTATCGTTAGCTCTAGTCCCTCACTGAAACCATGGACTCCAGGAGGAAAACGATGTGTCCTGTTGTTATTTTTATGCCCGTCAGCTGATACCTTTCTGTACAGTCTCATCAAGGAAGGTGGAAGGAGGCCTTTTTTATTATTCGTGTTTTTGACCTCCCCCTCCAAGCCTCAAGTTTCTTCTGAAAAACTGAGAAGGCAAATGTTATAGCTCTTTGAAGGAGGCTTCTAGTTTTGAAAGAATTTACAACTTTCTCCCCTGAATGTGAGGACATCTCTCTCTCTCTCTCTCTCTTACACACACACCACACACACACACTATAAAACACTTTGTTAAAATTTATTTTTTAGCAATACGGGGCTCCAGGGTTCATGATTTTTTCTTGAGATGAGTTAGGCCCAAGTTAGGGCTTGATTTTCCCTTCCCATCTAATTCAGTTCCTACCCTTTCTTGCCAATTCCCAGAATGTGAAAATCTATCACCTTATCAAGACCATATGGTACAGCCCTTCCCAAATCACCAGATCCCTTGAAAACACAACATCCAGTTGAGGCATTCAAGCTGTGTTTCAAAGAAATAAAATCAAACCACAACCAAACCCTGCACTTGAAATACTGGAAGATGAATGACTGGAATGTTCAGTCCAAGGTTTACAGATCAAAGAACTTTTCTTCTTTAATGGCAGACTCCTAATGAAAGGTTTTGACACTTTAATTGCTCCACTTTCCAAACTGGATCCAAATATGACACAAATCAGGACAAAGAAAATCTTTCCTGCAAAGACCCTGAAAGAAGTTGATCAACAAGACCTAAAAAGTTCCCTCTCAGCAGAGAGGTCAAGAAAAAACTTTTACCTGGAACCCTGAGGTTAAGGGTCAGAGGCTTAGAAATCACCTGCAGGTTATCTTGTGATCAGAGGTGCTTATTTATTTACTTTCTTTGACTTTACTCTGTTAGCTGATCTCACAACCCTTTGGTTGCCACCCATTTCATTACATCACTTTCTTTTATCAAATAATCTTTATAAAATTGCCGGGTATTAGAATATCTAGACTCCTTATAAGATGAAAGGAAAGCATTTGACAGAAGTTAGCTGTTGAACTGATAATAAATATTTAAAGCTGGAAGCAAGAACATTCCTTGTTCTTTCAAAATGCATTTTCACACATCACAAGGCCATCTATTTTCTTGACACTGGTGCTGTATTACAACCCAAGAAATTAACTGACTCGCCTCTGGGGAGAAAAGAAAAAGAATAAAATAACAGACCTCACATAGGGATTAAGAACCAAGCATATGAAATGACACTATCTCTGGGAGGCAAGGCCTATGTATTTAAAAAATTCATCATTAGGAAGACTAGCTTGCATTCATTCTAAATATAATTAAACTAGATACATGTCAGAAAGGAATCCATTTCTGAGTGGTTTTCTTCCTTCTCACCTACTCTGTGTGTGTGTGTATGTGTGTGTGTGTGTGTGTGTGTGAGAGAGAGAGAGAGAGAGAGAAGTATACAAGGCATAAAAAACACAAAATAGCACATTTCTAACTGCCATAATCCAGGACCAAAATCCATAGCCTTTTGCTTCTAAAAACTGCCACTGCTGAGGGTTGGGTGACCATCATGTCTACGACACAGAAACAGCACACAAACAGTTAACTCCCTCACTAGTGGCCTGGCCCAGGGATGCTGCTTCTCTGGAGGACATGTACTGGTTTAAATTGTCTCCTGAGAATTAGCCTCTGTTGCTATTGCAAATTAACTCTTTTCGAAAGAATCTCTTTGCATAAAGACAGACTTTGTTACAGTTAAGCCAAATAGGTCTAACAGGACTTGATGGCACTAGAAATGAAACCTTTTGAAGCTCCATTAAACAGCTAAATAATAATAATAATAGTAAAAGACACTCTAGGGCTAGAGTAAAAAATTCTGAAAGTCAGGGTAAAAAAAGAGATCTGGAAATACAACAGAAAAAAGAGAAATCCCTATAATATAAATCAATCATGATTACTAATCAGTAATTCCCTTCAGCCTTAATATGGAAGGAGAGATACTAAATATATTGCAAATAGAGAACTAATGTTTACATTTTTTTCTCTTTTGAATGTAATGATGATGATGTCCCACTGACAAGGAATGTGAGGCTTATTATTTTCCAACCTCTGGAACAGAGGTATCTGTGTTGAGCTATAGCATGACTCTTCAGTGTTCTCTGTTAAGACCAGAGACATGAGTTGTTGAGGTTAGAAACATAGACAGTCGTTGTGGAGCCAAGTGGTTTTTCAGATTAAACCATGCCCTTGGCCTCACTATCCAAATCCTCTAATCCACAAAGCCAAGAACCCAGAGAGTTGCACATAAGGTTGCAATGAGATGCTTCCTTCCATGTAGAAAGGTAAAGGAACATACACATATACTAATACAGTTTCCATCAGGGAATAAGAGAATCCTTTATTTTAGTCAAATTACAACATTTATGATAATTCCAAAGAGCAAACCATATGTTATCATCTCTTAGCATTGCCAAATGACAAGATTACTGAGTAGCAGATCATTTCTGGCTGTATTCAAACGTCTATAGTTATACAATTTAAATATTCCAGCCCACACTTATTTCTGTCTTCATGGAGGAAACCAATTTAGGAAGCACCAAATCTTGACGTCGGGAATTCTGTAACAAAGAATGCAAATAAGATTTCAGTACCTTGTATAACTCATGTTTTTGAAATGAAGACATTGCCAGAAACAAGTTTTCAAATGACCTAACTACATTCCCTCATAGGCAACTTGTCACTATCTACATGTGTTGTAGGTTTGTTGTGGATTTTACTTAGTAAATTTAATTCTAATCCAGTCACCCACCTATGTCAACAACCTATGAATTTGGAAGGCTCCTCCACTAACTGTAATTGTTGCGTGCCAAGGGAATGCAAGCTAATGTTACCTGAGCTAAAGCAAAACATAATTAGGAAATTAAATCTGCTACATAGGAAGTAAGCAAAAGCTAAATGTAAATACTCATTATAATCACCCTTAGCCCTTTCTTAATACCACCTTTAATCAGGAACAGTAGATGGTCACTCAACTGCTAAAGTAATGTGCAAATATCAGGTTTTATTGAAGAATTAAAGGTACCGTAAAACATCATTCTATGGTCTAGCCAGTCTAACAGATACGGGGGCTAATAAAGAATAATGAAGTAGAGTTGGTACAGTTCTACTGAGTATTTTAAAATCATAACGTATTGGTTTGGACTCTTATCTGCAGAAGTCATTTATAAGAGCAAGTTTTAGTGTAGAAAGATATTTTAGTGCAAAACCATTATGGAAAAATAATTTCAACAAAAGAATTTGGCCCACTGCTGCCCCTCAACTACCTGAATTGGAAATGGATCTGACTATTTCCATTTATTCAGTCTCTTTAGCAACCCCATAAGCCTGAAGTATGTAGTTACTAGGCAACCACTAAGGCAGGGGTGTTTATAACATTAGGCATTAATTATAGCAGAGCTCTATTTTTCTTAGAAAGTTTAAAAACTATATAAAGAGGTTGTGAGATCAGATTCTTTTCTCTGACTAGGAGCCAGCTATAAAACCAAAACGGATTTTCATTTCAATGCAGGGTATATACTGTTCAATACAAAGGGAAATGTAGTGTTATAAGGAAACCACAGATGATAGCTTTCAATCTTAATAAATATGCAGATGGTATTCATGATTGACTCAATAAGAATTTACTTTGGATATAAAAGCAAGAGAAAAGCCATAGATGCATAGTTCTCCTCTATAGAATTGTGAAATAAACCAATATATTAACATTCTCTTCATAATTACTTAATGTGTACTAAGTTAATGGAGTTTCAAAAACATTTGAGGTGTTTGAGATGTATGTCTTTACCTGATATTTCCCAAATCTCACTTGATGACAATAGTCATTTTTGTCCAACAAAACATTTTTTAATTAATTCAATTCGGCTGAGTTCAGTTAAAATCACCTAGAAATGTGATAGTATTATTTGAAAAGAAATTAGATAAATATACATAGCAGGAGTTGAACAACCAATAAATACAAAATGTAACTTAATCCATAATATTTATAAAAAATATCAGGTGAGAGTTGAAAGCTTAATTATGTTTATGATTTAAGAACTGCAATAAAAAAGCATTGGTATTTCTATTTTAATTCTGGGAAGGTAAAGTCACTTTTAGATTAATAAAGAAAATTATTTCTGATAAGTCAACATTAGGGTTTAACCAGTCTGGAATGATTTATTCTAGAATCAACATTTTACTTCTAAAATATTTTATCAATACAGGGAACATTTTTCCTTATGTGAAAACAGCTAGCACATACTGAACATTATCATCAGAGTCACCCCATTTTATCAATATGCTATCACTTAATACTCATTATTAATTTTAGCAGTCACCTC